ATATATAAATGCATATCCCATGCATATAATGCTGTTGCAAATCGTTTCTTGCACTCAAGATTTTATCTACGAGCTTGACAGCGGATAAACAGAAAAGCGTATATTCGAGAGTTTATTAAAAATGGTGTATAACTTCTTATATATTTTATGTCATAATTATAATATTTCTTATAACTATTCCAGGTCACGAATACCCTTTCAGCATCAAAATGAATTTCATAAGAGAACTGCTAAGGCGATCTGATTTAGATCTGAGGAACTTAAACAACATCAGCACAGATTCCAAATGCTATTTCATACTTCGAAGAAACACCCTCAACAGTTCTACGAGAATCGGTACGTTATATTTTCGATCTGTCTTATATAACATTGTACGAAGAAAAGCCATGTTTTTTATAAATGTTTCTTGTATTCTTGTATCAGATCCGAGGCTACAGAAGAAGAGAAAAAAGCATAGACGGCCTCATCCAAAAATCAACTGGCCTTTTAGGAGACCTGCTGCCAAACACGACTCTGTCGATAGTGGAAATAGTAGTCCTCCTCCCCATAGTTTATTTGGTCTATCTCTGTGGAAATTGTGCCCAGATAATATGATCCCCAAGCCTGTTATGGTAAGATATCTATTCAAATTTGATAATTTTTAAATTTGATTTGTTTATATGCGTCTTTTATAATACTTCAAGTTTAATCACAAACTGGTATGAACATTTTTTGAAATGGGCTTTATGTTTGAAATTATTTTTTAATCTATTCTTTAAATCGATTAAAATCATAATCGACTCTCCAGATTGATGATTATGCAAAGAGAACACATTTTTTTATAGCCGTCGTTGAACAGCTGACCCAATTTTTGGGTTTACTACTACTAATGTTCAACTCCGTAGCCTTATAATTTTGAACCCAATTCAAAAGACAAGGAAACCTCCTGGATCAAATATTGGGAGTAATTTGCCTTTGTAGAGGACTTTTATTCATAGAACTAACCCGCATTTGCTTTACATGAAGAGGAAAACCACGAAAACCTCCCACGGTTAGCCACGGTCAACTACCCATCCCTGGGATTCAAACCCGGTTCGCCTCATTGGGAGGTGAGCGGTCTATCCTCTGAGCCACAAAACAATACAATTGTTAAATTTGATACAATTGTTAAATTGTAAATTGTTAAATTTGATACAAATTTGAACAATTCAATTGTAAAACAAAGATTTAATATATCAAAAAATTGAAAGATTAGATCTGAAATTTGTGAATTTTTATCTTGCCCTTTAATACTACCTAAATATGTTTTTAATCCATGAAGTTTTATAAAATCTTATAATATATGAATTTATTTTTCCAAAACGTTTTTTATTTTATTTACTATTTGTTTTAGAAAGGCGAAGATTAATGAAGAATTAATTGTAAAAATCAAATCTGCGCATTAAAATATTTTATTTTACATTACTGAATACCGAAAAAATAAGAGAAAATAATTAAGAGGAAGTAAATTTTAAGTTTAAAAACACTTAAACACATTAAATGTTTGAGTCTTGTCTACTCCATAGACTTAGAATGTAAGGCTAATAGTCTCTCCTTATCCTTTTGGTTGTCAAATATACTAGATAAGCTATAAATACTTATTGTTAAAGAATTAATAATTTTAACTGTTAATTAACTTGTACAAAGTTTTTTCTGGAAAAGCCGATTTCAAACTAATCAATTTTAAAATTCGATTATATAATTATAAAAAATTACTTTTTCTCATAATTTTAATGAAATTGTTAATCCAATAATTAAATAGCTCTCAGATATTTTTATTTATTTGTTAATGTTTATTGCTTGTGTTAATCCCTATCTATGTATAATAATTTTTTAAATTTTATTTTTAGTCTATGTTAGTTCAGCTTTTCCAGCAAGGACCCTTTACTGTGGGTATCTTTCGTAAATCTGCCAACGCCCGAGCTTGCCGCGAGCTTAAAGAGAAACTGGAATCAGATCCTGAATATGACTTGAGGAATGTTCCCATCATTGTATTATCCTCTGTTTTTAAAGTAAGTAATCAATCTAAAAATGATCGTGCAATTGATTGTGATCTGCATTTTGGCTCTTTATATTTCAGTGGCTCTTTTTTTTTTTAAAGTTATGTTTGAAATTAACAAGCTTAGTGGAAAAGATGTTAATTTAAATTTTGGAAAATTTTTTTAAAAAATCAGCTTTAAATGTATAGGAACACTAGAAAGTATTTTTATAGCAAACTTTTTCTGTTTGAATTTTTTTTTTAAATAGAAAAATTAATAAATAACTGCTCCATTCTTACAGTGGTTATTATCATGTTTACTATGCCTGAATATTTATTGATTTCTATGTATCACTTAACCTTTTTTTTTTTTTTTTTGACTAAGCTCTCAAATTTATTTATCACTGAACAAAAAAAGATTTATGTACCAAATGTAAGAAAAAAAAGAGGGAAGAGATAAAAATGTATAATTTGCTGTGTTGTGCTAAGGTAATAAAGCACTCATTCTTGCTTAGTTTTGTCACCAGATAGCGCCATAGACAAAAACAAGAATTTTTACACTCTGTATCAAATTAATTTAAGAGAAATATTTGATTAGAGCCTCTCTATTTTGACTTTAAACTGTACCATGTAAATGTTACAAATATATTTTTAAAAAAAACTCTTTTTTTTAAAAAAAAAAAATCTTTAACACCACCTGTTGAAGAACTCTATAACTATTTTGAAATTTGATGATAATGAATTCTGATGTCCTAAACTGAAAACAACAAAGCATATATTTTGATCTCTTTCGTTTTTATTTAGTTGTTGTTGTTTTCTAATTTACAAACGATGTGTATTTAAAACTTATATAAAGCCAGTGTTTTTTAATCTTCTGCTTTGCAGCAAATGTATATAAAATGATTTGAAAAAATAATTTCCCCATGTTATGTGAAATTTCATATGTATTTGTATTCCTTTAATTATGCCTCTCATTTTAATATTTATTTTTGAAACTTAATTTATTGCAAAACTCATCTATTCTCATGCTATTCTCACCTGAAACTTTTATGATTCTCCTTATGAAACCTTTCAGCTTAAAATTTTCCTGTTTTAGTTATTAGTATATATTTAATTTTACTCTGATAGAGTTCATAAAATCTATTTATATTTGAAGTTGAGTTAAGTTTTATTTATGTTAAACTAACAATCTAATTTTAACTTAAATTAGTTTTGATTTTTTTCTACTTTTGATGTGTTATTAAATGCTTTATTTCTGTTGTACAGGAATTCTTGCGAAGTCTTCCCGACTGCCTCCTTCAATCAGACCTTTACAAACATTGGCTTCAAGCAACCTCTTTTGAAACTGAATGGGAATGCAAAAAGAGAATCCTTAGGTAACTTTTTTTGAAGGTTTTTTATGGTTTCAATGTGTGTAAAAATTAAAAGGTTTTTGCTAATTTTAAAATAATGTTTAACATAAATGAGCTTAAATCTTTTTATGTTTTGAAACACTTTTTATGTGTTTCTTTCCTGAGATGGTAAAATAAGCATTCTTAGATTTAGTTTGACAAAGTTATAAAAAAAATTTTGTTATTCTGACACGTCTTCCTAACCTGTTTCTTTTCTGCAGAAAGATTAAAAGTATAGTAAAAGTTAAAATTACAGTTTTAGTCATTTTTATAGAAAAAATGTTTTGCTAATGTAGGAGCTAAAATTTATTTTGATTTGCCTAATTAATTTTATTTATGTAAATTTTCAATATGTATTCTTAGATTTTGCCTTATCATACTTAAACTGCCTTGACAAAATAGAATTTCATTATTTTTTTATTATCTTACCTATCTTCTCTTCTCTTACCTAATCTTATGTTTATTTTTTACTTTCAGTCTTTTAGCTCAGTTACCACCTCCAAATATCCGGCTTTTGCAATATCTCTTGTGTATGTTGTGGCACATAGCTCAGCACTCTTCCGAAAATAAAATGTCTTCCATGAACCTTGCTGTATGCATTGGTCCTACTCTTTTAAATCCAGGAAAATTTCAATCTCCTGTTCTTCAACAAGAGGTAAGAATTTCTTTTTCTCTCTTGCTAGCATTGTGCATTTATTTCATAATTCAAAGTTACATAAAAAAACAAATATACATGAGATATAATTCATTTTATAAAAAGTCAAAATATCCTAAAAACATAAGGTCACAGGATCATTATTTGTTTGACTTAAACTATTTAACAACAAATATGCAACTTGAAATAATAATACAATATAAGTCCTAAATGTGCATACAAATTTGGAGCAGAGTAGTCGTGTCAGACTCTTGTGCTAATCACTAATCTTTTTTTCAATTGTATCTAATTTTGTAATTGTATCTAATTTTTCTTGTAGTTTAATTTTGTTATAGATAAAGGGCCTGGGGCAATGTAGTGATAAAGCTAATTTTTTCAGAAGTAATATTATACATCAAACTGTACCTTAATATTGTTACCAGATAGGTACTTTAATACATTTCTGCTTGTTTCTTTTAGTTTCATACACAGAAACATCTTATTACTAGCATGTTTTAAGCTATTTTCTCCTGATCGATTTTAAAATGTGTCTTATCATTTTGATGCCTGAACCCTGAATATGTTGTAAATTTTTTTTATTTACATAATTTAAAATATTGCTATAATTTTTTACTACTAAGATAGTTTTACCCAATCCATTTTTTTTTTTTTGAAATAAGAGAAAAGCATGCTCTTTAATTTTTTAAAGTATTCTTGATAGTTTCTCTCATCAAAATAGATTAGCATGTGATGTTTATATATATAAAAAAAAAATTCTTTTTCAGGATATTGCTGAACGGGTACCTAAAGCAGTGTCATTTTTGATTGACCATTGTGCAGAATTATTTGGTGACCAAGTATTGCAGCTGCTGGGGGCATCTCCCGAAAGAGATAATTCTAGGCAGGATTCTGGAGCAGAAGAGTCTGATAGCCTTCACAGCTTACATGATCTTGCAAGTAAGTTTGAATTCTGCCTTAATATATATAAATTTTATTAATAATAAGTTGTCTCTTAATTTAAGAATAAGTTGTTTTATTCTGCTTGAAACATATGGTTTTGTTTTTTAAAAAAATTGTCCCTTAACCTGTTTTCTTATTCAATTTTTTTTTTTTTTTTTTTTTTTTTTTGCTAGTAAACAATTTAAACAGGTGAATCCTAAAAATTTTAAAACCAATTGAATAATTTCTTTTTTACTTACATGATGATGTTGCTTTTTTTATTAACTGGTTTTTTCCTTTTGATTTAAATGTTCTATTCTAATAAACAAATCTTACCTCGCAAATTGTTGTTTAGTGTATTAGAGAGCAACCTAAAAAATGAATCATTTTTTTTTCGTGACTTGATATTTTTTATTTATTTATTAAATCGCAGGAAAAATGAACTATTTAAAGATAGATTTGATTATTAATTTTTTTTTAAAAATTGAATTTAAAAAAAAAATGAACTAATTTTTTTTTTTAATTTTATGCTACATTTGTCCTAATCAAAATACAAAAAAAGTTTTAAGGCATCTTTTTCCTTTTGAAAACATTTAAACATGAATGGATTGTGTAAACTTTCCTTTTTATTATTATTATTAATTAGCTCTTTTTTTGTAGTAAATAATTTATTTTCTACTGATTACATTAATATACTACTAAAAATTTTTTATTGTTTCTTTAAACTATTTAATATTAAACATCAAATTTTCTTTTTCAGATCAATATAGACGAGATGACTCTTCTATTGATAGCTTAGATCGCGATTTCCTTGATGAAATTGAACCTAGTCCAAAATTGCCTTGCAAGAGCAAGATGTCCCTAACAAACCTCAGTCGAGATTCTGGTCTTACACTAAGTGATACACAACTTTATACACCAGAAGAAGAGGTGGAAAGTGAGTCCTCCAGTGCTGATAGTCGAAGGGGTAATTCTACAGCCCTAACAAAGAGTGTCCCCCACTTGGATACTGCTGGAATAGACTGTAACACTGCTTCCTATGGCAAGAATGCTGGTGTTAGCATAGACGGCACTTGCCATGATGTGATGCGCAAGAGGCGGCTAGGAATGGAAGCCCATCGTACCAAATCTCTTGCAGCCTGTTCGTCATGTGTGCATCCAGATTATCATTACGAAAGGAGTCCTCATTTACCATTGCAATTATCTCAATCATACAGTTATAGCATGCAGCAAGATTTAATGGACAGATCTTACGATAGCTTTGTACGCAATTATCATAACCCTGTGAGAAGACGGGACGTTAGAGGTCGCTCTGGATTACAGAGGCCTATAGTATCTTCAGTTGAACCTGTTGATAACTATATGGAAGGTACATTGCGTCGAAGTGCTTCCGAGGAGAGTTTACTTCAAAAATATGTGAGCTCCTCTGCTTCTAAGAGGATGCTAACTCAACGTAAAAGAAGAGCACCCTCACCACCTCAGTCAAAAGGAACTATGTCTGCCCCATGTAGCACTAAAAAGACTGATTATTCAAAAGAATGCTCACGGCAGTCTAGATCTGTCAGTAGAGAACCTGACAGACATGCTGTGTGGTTTGCGACACACTCACGGAGAACAGACTGGAAAAGAAGTCAATCGACGTCAAAAATTGATGAGATTGACCAGGCTCACGATTCTAGCACCATATCTTTGGTTTCAAGCGAAGATAGTACACCACAGGTATCTAGGAGCAATAGCAGGGTGCAAGAACTGAGCTCAAAATCTCATAGTGATCTGTATGCCATGTATTATAGTCCGCAAAGAGTCAATAGTGTTTGTAGTTCTACATCAGATGGAAGTCAGCAATCTCACCAATCACACAACTCGCGTTGTTCTCAGTCATCGCAAAAATCAAACAATTCACATAAATCTCAACATTCAAACTGTTCCATAAACAACTCCCCTTCAAAACCCAGTGAACCCCCCAGTTACCTCGAAGCCATAAACCGACAAACATTGTTGAAACAAATGCAGCATCCAGCAGTTGTCATTGTTAAGAATGTAACTGATGAAATGAGGGCAGAGCAAACCTCTCTCAGTGCAAAAGCTAGAGAACTTTATGAAAACTCGGTTCGAATGTATTCGCAACAGATTCCTGAGGATGATGACACTCATCGGGCTGTACCGGCTAATGTGGACTGTACCGATGGCCACCGTAAATCTTCCATTTCAGTCAAGGGCATCCAGACTTCACCAAGAATAAGCAGTCAAGAGGGAGCGCATATTAGACTAAGGCACCATCCTCCAGTTCATGTAACAGATTCTCAGCTACACAACATGAGAAATTTCCACATAAGGTCTAGGAGAGAAATACTTCCTGAAGAACTTAGAAAAGAAATAAACTGGAGTGTCGCGCAACTGAGGGAGTTTTTTAATACAAGAACTCAGGAAGAAAAGTCTCTAAACTTTTCTAACTCATGCCTGGAGAAATGTGATGAACTCAATAATAGCAGATCTCCTAGGCAATTTCCAACACAGCAACACACCCGCAGTCGAAGCTTAAGCTCTAGAAGTGAAGAGGAATCCTTTGTCTAAGTCTAAAATATCTTGCTGAATGTTAAAAGGTGATCAAAATATTCTTCAAAAATCTCACATTATGTAAATATGCTATCAGATGCTATAAGAAAAACTGTAAAAAGTGTACATTAAAATTAAAAAATATTGGATTATTTAATATCTGATCTTCTTTTACATTCAGCAGACCCAACATGTACATATTATTCCTTCTCAGGTTTTGAACCCATAACGACCAAATCTAATATATGTGTTCATTGTCAATCGCTCTTGTTGTTGTTCGCTTCAATAATGTTTCGCATTTATTTACTGAACATACCCATTTGTGCAATGTGGAGTCAAAAAACTTGTTTTTTTCTATATTATTCGCTTTGATTTGTATATATGTATTTGAGCAAGGCCTGAGGCTGAATTGGTGAGATTACTACCAGCTTTTTTTGTGCCCATCTTACTAGTCCATGAATGGACTCATTTTTCCGCATTCGTGTACAATTTTACCGTTTTTTGTAACTCATTGTTAATTATAGTGTTTTAATTTTGTTTCAACTAATGCATGGTGAGTTTCTAAGCCTTGTGTCTGATGCCAATTTTGAAGCTCATTTTTTTTGTACATTTACTGTATACATTTTTTTTTATTAAAATTAAAAACCCTATTCTAGATTTGTTGTTTTTACTTTCTTATCTTACTATACACTTCTATATAATAGTATCGCAGACAGTGGATTAAACGCAATTACATGGGGATTAGCGTTTTTAAAAAGGGCTTAAAGGTGCTTATTTTCGTTTTTTAAAAGCCGTTAAAGGTGCTTTTTTTATTGGGTGTTTTTTAAAAAAGTACTTAATTTTCCCTTTTCGAAAATAAGATTTTTTTTCTTTACCAAGCCAATTTTCACCATGTATTATGCAAAAGCGTGTTTTTCACATTGTTCTATTCAACGTTCATTCAAACACTAAGCATTTCTGCATACCGTCGGTCCATAGCCTATGAATGCACTAATCATTTTACATGTTTGATGAAATACTTGCGGGTCCGTATACTGAGCTGGGTTTGGTGAGATTCTTGCACTGTCATGTGCAACTCTGCTGCATTTTGCAAGATATTCTTAATTTCATGCTTCATTTCCCACACTCTGAAATCGAACCAAAATGAACCAACTAAGGTAATAAATGTACCAATAATTTCTTTATGGTGGCTAATATAATCAAGAAAAGAGTTATTTGTCAGAAGCTAGTTATTTTATCACGATCATGTAAAGTCTTTAAAAATTATTTTGCATTTTGTTAATGTGTATAATGCTTAAAAGGTGCTTATTTTTTGTTGAAAGATTTAGCTACGTACCCTGAATTAGAAAATTTTTTTGAAGTAGCTTTCACTAATTATATCTTTGTGTGGCTAGTCATAATACAAGCATTCTTTTATTGCAACTTTATTGTAACTGTAATTTATATTCTTCCTGTTAATTCTTAAACATGCTTATTTTTTAATGAACAACAATGAAGGGAGGCCGAGTTTAAAATATTTCCCACAATGTCAGTAAATATAAGCAAAAAAGGTATAAATCATCTTGTAATCCAGTGTTTCCCAAACTGTGGTACGCGTACCCCCAGGGGATGGGAACAGTTTAGCGGGGGTACGCGTTCTTGTGCGAAATATCTTGCAACAAACGAAAATTTCAAAAAATTTTATTTCAAAACAAAGCTAGCCACTAAGATTTACGATTACGTATTCTTCTATAGGCTCTTTTTTGCAAAGTTAACAGTTAATAATTAGTGGTGTCAACATCCACTTGTGATTTTTAACTTTTGTGCAATTTTTTTATAGTAAAGGTTTGTAATAAATTCTACTTATTTTGATTATTTTTATAAAATATAATTTTTATCCTGTTATCACAACAAAAACAATATCATCCTTCTCANTTGAAGTAAAAGTGCGAGCTTTGCGCCAAAGTGACGTCACTAGAGTGCGCGGCGAGAGATACTTCAAAGGAGTGATCCAGCCCTTCTATTCTCTTTAGCCCTGATACTGACCTGGGTTTGGTGAGATTCTTGCACTGTCATGTTCAACTCTGTTGCATTTTGCAAGATATTCTCAATTTCAAGCTTCATTTCCCACTCTGAAATCGAACCCAAATGAACCGACAATTTCTTTATGGTGGCTAGTATAATCAGGAAAAGAGTTCTTTGGCAGAAGCTAGTTATTTTATCATGATCATGTGAAGTATTTGAAAATTATTTTGCATTTTGTTAATGTATATAGTGCTTAAAAAAAATTTTAGTGCTTAAAAGGTGCTTATTTTTCGTTGAAAGATTTAGCTACGCACCTTGAATTAGAAATTTTTTTTGAAGTAGCTTACACTAATTATATCTTTGTGTGGCTCGTCGTAATACAAGCATTCTCTTTTTGCAACTTTATTGTAACTGTAATTTATATTCTTCCTGTTGATTCTTAAACATGCTTATTTTTCAACACATGAAGTAAGGCTGAGTTTAAAATACTTCCCACAATGTCAGTAAATATAAACAAACATGGTATAAATCATCTTGTACTCCAGTGTTTCCCAAACTGTGGTACGCGTACCCCCAGGAGACGGGACAGTTTAGCGGGGGTACGCGTTCTTATGCGAAATATCTTGCAACAAACGAAAATTTTAAAAAATTTTACTTGAAAACAAAGCTAGCCACTAAAATTTACGATTACGTATTTTTCTATTGGCTATTTTTTGCAAAGTTAATAATTAGTGGTGTCAACAGCCAGTTGTGATTTTTAACTTTTGTGCAATTTTTTTATAGTAAAGATTTGTAATAAATTCTACTTATTTTGATTATTTTTATAAAATATAATTTTTATCCTGTTATCACAACAAAAGCAATATCATCCTTCTCACTGAATCAAGGAAACTTATTAACACAACTTTGTACCAAGAAAGAAAAATAAACATGGTTTAAAAAAAATACATAAATTTTTTTATTAGTGGTGCATAGCGTTACGAAAAATTTAGAAAGGGTACTCAAAGAAGTTTGGGAAACACTGGTGTAATCCATGCCTTTGATCCCATAGTAGAATCCCAGAAAATTTTTGAGATCCATTTTAAATGAGGTTTTTCATCAAAAAGAAAAAATGACATTGAAATATTCAGGGATCCTGGTGGACACGGCCCTTTCTAACATAGCAATTTTTCACTCAATATTTGCGTAGTTACATTTACAAATAAAAAAATAAATAATATTGTTTCTGAATTCTAAAAAAATGTCTATTTCAAGGAAACTTTGACATCTTCTTGGAGAGAACTGCTACCAAATCATCCCCTACTCACCTCCCTTCCCCCTGCCCAGAAGGAATACACGATCTTATTTCTGATCGATGGGGAAAATTCTTGCTTTCAAATGTCACTGCGAACAGTGAAACAGAATTTTAAAAAAAATAATAATAATCTCGTTAAATGAGAGATAAATAGTTTACAGGTCAACAATTTCTTTTTTAATTCCAAAATAATTCGAATCAAGAAGTTAAAATTGCAAGTTCGAATTTTTTTATGCTATTTTGTGGGGTTAGATAACTCTGACCCAGTTATATAGATATATGGTTCCCAGCAGATCACCGAAGTTAAGCATCACTGGCTGTGGTCAGTGCACTGGTGGGTGACCACTTGGATCAGTCTGTGTAGGGACCAAGGGTGTGCGGTATGGGTCCTCGTTAAGCTGTTCTACCGTAATGTGTTCGACTTCGCGTGCAGGTCGTCGGGTTACCGAAGCGGGGGTGCCATACCCTCTTCAAGGATTCAAAATTGTGATGGCATGTCTTCGGATCATCCTCAGGGATGTTTCCCAGACCGTCGCCAATAGCCCATTATGCAGCTCTAGTGCGACGTAAAATGAACAACAACAATATATAGATATGTACACAAGGAGGAATCCCCCCCTACCGTTTTTGGGAAACTTCCGTGGTCGCAGAAAATATTTTCTGTCAAGTGTGTTCGTAATAGGTACGAACATGCGTAATAGGTACGAACACTATTACGAACATGCATTATTTATCATAATTATTTAGGTAAATTACAACGATAATTACCAAATATTTAAATGAAACTTTTTCTAATTATCCTCATCATTTGATAAAAACATTTCGTTCAAATTTATGACTTCTATATTTGTTGGAAGTGTGACTTTGCATTGATGTAAATTATACAATATCGAAAGGAAACTATTTAGTTATTCATTTCAATGCAATGAGAAATTAGAGATAGCGACATGTTATTTATGGCCTACTGTCAATTCGGCTAGTCACCCTTAGAATTACAAATGATCGAAATGAAACTTTTTTTAGTTTCTTTATAGCTAATAAGAGAACAATTGACCCAAATTTGAGACTTTTGTTTTGGCATTAGTGTTAATTAGCATTAACGTCAATCAGACTAATTACCCTGATAATTACAAATATCAAATTTGGGGGGGTTTCTATTTAAGGCATAAAAAATACGAATTCTAAATTTGAGAGTTCAGTCCTACTTACAAAGCCCAGTCAAAACCAACTTCATCAATTCGTTTCAGGGCCGTGGTAGCTCATTGTTCAGAGAATCGGATTGCTATCCGGAGGGTTTGGGGTTCGATCCTCGAATCCGCTGAGACCCACTGAGTACATGAGATATATGTGCTCGTGAAGTCTGTGGAATCGAAGGTCCTGTGGTCAATCGCCAAGAAGTACCATGGGGACATGGAGGGATCTGAAGAAAATTTTCTTCCCCTTCAAATCTATGTCTAAATAGAAAAAGTGGCGTCGTATTGTGAAGGCAATTCTTCGGATCATCCTCAGGGATGTTTACAAGACCATTACCAATAGCACATTGTGCAGCTCTCGTGCGACGTAAATAAGAGAAATTTGTTTTTCTAATTATTTAGACTATTTGTCACTCAAAATGTGAAGCAATTGAATAAGTGTTTTTAACTCTTCAATAGCTGGTAATTTCTTACAAATTTCTGTTATATTTATTCATTACACTTAATGCCCAAGGCTAACGCCACCATCTTGGTCAGTACAATTCACTTGCGACCTCTTCTCTCAATGTAGATATACGGAGTTTCTATTCTTAAAAGCCATTCTTTATCGTTCAATTCTCTTTTTGTCTCTGAAATTATATGTTTTATTTTTATTCTATTCAGTAAAAATAATACCTTATCTATAAATTAAATCTTTCGCATTTCAGCGTTCATAATCAGCTGTAACTTTTTATTTCTCTCTTAGAAATGTTTTATGAGGTTCAGTCGCTTTTTTTATGAGGTTCAGTTGGTTTCTTTATGAAGTTCAGCCGGGTTTTTTTAATGACGTTCAAAGTGTGGTATGATTTGGGAGTTAAATCATTATGGACATTATTATCAGTGTTCAAAGAAAAAGTTTTTTCCCAATAGTCAATACCAATTGTTACTTGGTCGTTTATAATAAAAATTTGCCTAGAATTCAATTGCCATTAATTAAATTTAAAATGAAATTTTAAGTGAAACTCTAGATGCAAATAACAAAATCGAAAAATGTTTTAAAATTCTGTTTAATTTTCAAAATATTAAATTAAATAAAAATATGTTCCTCAACTAAATATAAGACATATTAAGAATATTAAACCAATAAATTCACTTGAACAGCAATTATATTTTCGGAAAAATTTCACATTTTTTCAAAACACAATGATCTTGTTTTTAATTCTACTAGGAGGCTCCGCCCCCTGTTCGCTAACGCTCGCCAACCCCCGAGAATTTCTACGCAATCCTATGTGGTTCACGCCGTGAACCATGGCTCGCTGGGCTCGCTCGCCAATGAACACAATGTTCTAGCACAAAGACATAATATATTATC